GGGGACTCTCCCAGGGCTGGAGGAGAGATCGATACGTAATGGAGGATGATGGTTAAAAAATGACCAGGGGTCGTGTTCACGCGGCGGCGCCCGGGATGACGATTAGAAAAAACCGGCCCCGGGCTGGGAAACTATTTTTTGGTCGTCCCCCCCGCCGTCCTCGGGCGCGCGCCCCCCCCCCGGTGACGAAACACCGCACAGGCGAGCCCTGCTTCTGAGCGTTCCCCTCCCCCCCCGGTGTGGGAAACTATTTTTTGAATCGTTCCCCCCTCCTTTCTTTCTTAATCGTCATCCCACATTACGAAGAGCACACATTGCGTGGTTGCCATCGGCACGGGCAGGCGGGCAGGCAACCCCGCCGTGACCCAGTGCCAGTTCCCCAACCACCGATGCGTGCAGACGTGGCGGCGAAAGTCGAGAATTACCGACAACTCGTGCGGTTTGGCCATTTTCTTCAGCAGGCGGCTGTGCGGCACGCTACAGCAAGTGGCCGTCCCTCCACTTCACTTGGGCATCACGAGCAGGGCCGGCATGGCGCGGTTCTCACTGGGCAGCACATCCCATGCGATCTTCCTGTTATGCATTCCGCCAGAGGGTATGACCGCCATGACGTTGCGCAGCGTCGCTAACGCGATACTTGCATGGATCGCGGCAAGGGTCGACAAGCCAGGCCACTCATGCATACCGCACGTCGCCGGCGACTGGAACTGCACTTGTGGAGTCCAGGGCCGACATCATTGGACGGATATTCAACAGAAAGGACGAGCAGATCGGCACATCAGTGTTGGCATTGTAATCGAACTTGTCACAGCAAGCACGTGAATTTCTAGAGTCTGGAGGAGCAACAGCTTCGAATGAAAATGTATGAGACGCATTGGAAGCGGGACCGACTTAGTACCAGGGGCAGCTTACCGGGACGCATGTTGCAGGACCAGCTCTGATGAGCAGCTTGATCATGCATCGAAGAAGTATGCTACGGCTTGTAGACATGACAGCAGAAACATGTGAACGCGCATCTGCAATGGCCACGCCCCTGTCCTTGCCGAGCTCGGCGGACACGTGCAGACGACATACATAATAAGCTGCGTGCGAACCGCCAAACGCATAGTCATAGAGGCACACAGCATTGGATACCGTACAAACGAGTTTTGGGAAGCATGGAAAACAGCGAGCGACATCCCCGAAGCAGAATGGAATAACATACGTGGGGCCGTAGTGATGTGCAAGGAGCGTGCAACAAACTATCAGGAAGCATCCGGGACGCGATGCAGAAGGTCTACCCGCCGAGCGCCGACAACCTAGCGGACTAACAGAGCTTCCGACAGCGGTGAGTGGAGCTGCTGGCGCTACGAGGACGGCTCCGTGAGCGGTTACATGGGACGGGCACAAGAGAGTTTTAAGGAAATTGATCCATGGTTTTCGACGACACGGGCGATGAACTACAGACACTGTCGCGACGACTACAGGGGCTTCGTCGACAACAGAAGAAGGAAGCAAACTGAACTGATCGTCGAATATATCAACGCGGCATGGCTACAGCGGTGACGTTCAGAAGTGCGCCGGTAGCGAGGTACGTTGGTTGGACATGGTCGCGGGCCAAATCATCGCTTCCTTTTTGCCCTGCGCGGGGGGATGACGACGCAAGAATAGAGCGAAGGTCCACCGCTTGCACCTGATCTCGCAGGCATGGATTGCAAACGGTTTGTTTGGGGTGGTCGGACCGCACATCGGGGCAGGCCTGGACAGGTCAGATCACGCATCTTCGAAAGGCGCCAAACAGGAGCGCTGGACCCTCGCGAGGAGCACTGGCCGATGCCCTTTCGGCATGCGCACGGAGAGTAAGAACGCATTTCAATGAGCGCGATCGAAGTTTTGTGCCTGTGACGTTCTCCAGGGTATAAAACGATTTGCTTGCGCTTGTTCGCATGGTCAGTTCTGTCCCATCCTCGGCCGTTCAACCGCGGGCGTTCGCCTAGTTCAAGAGCAGTTCAAAACATCGGGTACTAGGTCGAAGTGTGCACCATTTTTGCGATGTGCTTGGGATGTCGCAGTTCGGACACCCGCCCCGCCTGACTTTGCGCGCGGAGGATTACGAGGACAGGGGAGGGAAGGTGGCATCTGAAGTCTTGGAAAGTGGCATCTGTAGTCTTGCAGTGGCATGTTGTCGGTGTTGCGCAGCGCAGATTCGCCGCGGCGTGCCCGGCTGCGACGGCGCGAACGCGTTCGCATGTACATCGCGAGACAAGGTGCGATCGCACCATGATGCACGCAGTTGGCGCGAGGGCGCGCAGCTCGTCGAGCAGGCAACGTGCCCTGCCGCGATCCACATTGATGCCGTTGTCGGGGAAGCAGGCTTCCACCCGCAACAAGGCGCAAACATGTTCCAGTCGCTTGCTGCCGGAGGCTTTCTTGATCTCCGCCCGCAGCTACGCAGTTGAATCACGAGCTGTCGGGGTGCGACTACAGCTGCACTTGGCTGCGGGGCGAGTGCCCGATTAGGAAAGCAGTCGTTCGCATCGGGGTCGGCTTGTTCGTGGGCGACGCATCGCGGTTGCACGCGCGCGCGCGCGCCTCGAGCGCAGCGCGCATCGCGGCAGTCGAACTATGCCGCAGACACGCTGCAGGGGCGCGCTCACCGGAACGGGCACCACTTGAACGCAGAGTCGCACGCAGCGCCGCCGTCGCGGGCATCGCCGCTAGTGTCGCAGCGAGTCAGTCCACCGACGCAAGGGGCCCTGTGCTGGTGCGACTTCCAACGCGTTGAATGAAAAGTAAGGCCGCGCCCGGCTTCGAGGGGGGGGCCAGGGCCGAGTCGCGCGGCGAGGTTCTCGGATGTTGGAGGATCAGTCAGACAGCCGCCGAGTCGCGCATCCAACGCCTCCGCTGGCGGCAACGCATCGCCGCGGAGCCTCGTGGCCATGGGCAGATTCTGACGACGATGTTTGGGATGACAGAGCTCGACCGCCAGCTCGGAAGGCGCAGAATCAACTCTGGTGGCGCACTGAACCAGGGCACCCCGTGGGAGGTGCTGCGCCTTGGCAGCCATGGGCCGCCAGCGACGTCTGCGCCCGCGTTCGCGCAGAGCTGGGCGGGCAGAACAAATTCCATTCGACGTTTCCAGGGCTCCGACGTTGGCATAGCTGTGGGAAGAAATGCACGCGGGGCATCTCCAGGACCATCTCAGCCACGACGCCAAGCGATGGCAATGCGAGAAGAGACGGCAGCAACAGACATCAGCATGGTGATACTAGAGGCGGAAAGCGCGTTTATCGCGACATCGGCACAGTGGACGAGTGCATATGCACTAACGAGCATGAAGGCGCGCCAGCGTGCCGCACGTGCAACGACATATGGGCCCCCGCGGCGCGCGCAACACATGCTCGCAATGCGGAACATCTACTCGGAAATGGTAGCCACCGACGGATGTCCATGGTGTAAGACAGCCTTTGCGAGCAGGGCACCTTCTTTGAGGCGCGTTCGCGCAATGTCACAGCGTGCCCTGCCTGCTAGTCCCACGCGAGCCACGTCGTTCGACTTTCGGCCCGATGCGCTACAGTGCGTTACAGCGGCGTACGCAGTCGCGGCGATACTGAACTTGACGCGCATCTCGAGCACATTCGGACCGACGCCAGCGGCCCCAGCACTGTCGCGTAGAGCAGGGGCGAGCGGAAGAAGGGGTAGAGCCCTCGGACACCAACCGTGGACGCGTCGGCCAAGGGAGAGCAGCGACCTCCGAAGTACCATGGAGGAGCTAGCGTGTGGAGGACAGGTTGCGGCAAATCGAATGGGGCCGACGACTCGGGCGCGGGGAAGGAGCTGGTCGCGAGCGAGAAGATGAGCCTGGACAGCCCGCAGCTGATACGACAAATCTCGGGCAGCTTGCGGGGCTTTTACTTGGCGGAGGGAGACAACGCGGCCGTGGGCCCGGGCGAGGCGGGAGGCAACGTTTACGCGGACAGGGTGAAGGGCGGCCAGGGCAACATGGGCTCTCCCCGTCTCCACAACGACGCGGCGTTCTTCATGGAGTTGCCCAACCTTGAATCGGCGCCTCCGCCATGTCGAGAGGCCCTCGCACTTCGCCAGGGTGATCAACGTCATTTATCACGATTTCGTCGGCGACATCCTGCCGCACTTCAAGGCGAGGACAAGGATGGGGCGAGATGGGGCAGCCGCCGCGGTGGTAGGCACACCCGATGGCCAACGCGTTGGCGATGAGCCCGCGGACGGACGAGAGCGAACCCAATATCATCAGCGAACGCGAGCACCGGAACATGCTTCCGACCCATCTGCAGGACGCAGCTGCCGAGGTTCCGACTCCGACTACGGCGCCTCCTCCTCATCCTCCTCTTCCTCCTTCCTTCCGCCTCATCCTCATCCTTTTCCGCTCTTCGATCTTTCTCCTCCTCCCCCTCCCCTCCAATCCTCCTCCCGCCTGATTCTGCCGCTCCTATATGTTTTCCCTCCCTCTTTTTTCAGTTCTCTCTCCCTCTCTCTCATTCTCTCGTTTGCTCGCAGCCTGGAAAAATCAGCGCCCATCCGATCTCCTCGCACGAGCCGCCGCCGCGCTGTCGCCGGCGCCGCGTCGGCGCGCGCCTTCCCTCCCCCCACCTTTTTGGCGGGACGAGTCCCCACGAGCCGCCGAGTAGCGACGGAACCCGTCTCCCCCCCGTCCTCCTCCTCCTTCCCCTCCTCCTCCTCCTCCTCCCTCCTCCACCTCCTCCTCCTCCTCCTCCTCCCCTCCTCCTCCCCCCTCCTCCCCTCTCCCCCTCCTCCTCCTCCTCCTCCTCCTCCTCCTCCTCCCTTCTCCTCCTCCTCCTCCTCCTCCCCTCCTCCTCCTCCTCCTCCTCCTTCTCTCCTCCTTCTCTCCTTCTCCTCCTCCTCCTCCTCCGCCTCCTCCTCCTCCTCCTCCTCCTCCTCCTCCTCCTCCTCCTCTTCCATTGGCCAGACCAACAGCCGAGCGAACATGAGGTCGAAGGCCACGGGTCTCGACCCCGCCCGAGGTGTTCGTGTGGCACGGCCTCCGCGTGGAGCCGCTCATGAAGGCCCACGTCTTCGCGAAGGCCTTCGAGCTCGACCGGGTGCTTCGTGCCGGCCTCCTGTGGCAGCCACCGGGGAGCAGAACGCCCGCAGGATCGAGGTTCGAGGATGGTTGGGATTTCCCGTTTTGAGTTGCTCCAGGGGTGTGTTCAGTTTTCGCGATTCGGTTTGTACACGATTGTTGTTGTTGATTGTATGCTGTCATTGTACGCGGTTGCCCCCTTTTCATGTGTGTACGGTTGCGGGCTCTGTATTCAACTTGGCCGTTTTGTCGTCTGTGTTGTTTATGCTCGTTTGTTGTGCTGCTTCAGTAGCGTGCTTGCTCGCATGCTGCTGTTTCATGCCGTCGCCGTGTCCAGCGCCGTGCTTTTGTGTTTGCACGTGGTGCTCCTGTGCTTCGGTTTTGTTTCTCGGCGGCGAGCGAGGGGGGGGGGCAGAAGGCTGCGGGGCTTCTCCGAAGCCCTCGCGCTCTCTGGGAAGTTGTTTTGTTGCGTCTTTGGTTAGGTCGGGCATGTCCTCCTACGGGCGGATCTTGGACGAAAGATAGAACATATTCAATACATATTCAAAGACTCACAGAAATAATGCAAATATCGTCCGCAGCCTTTTTTTACTATTCTTGAATATTCCTCCTGTGGAGGGACAGGCCCGACTCGAGTCTCCGGGGGAAGGCCCGGGGAAGCTTCTCAGGAATCACCGAGCACGTTCCACTACTCGCAAAGTGCCTACTCGAAAACGTCCGAAGACACACGCGGCTGCTTCGATGTAGTTGATCGCAGATCCCCCGCGGCGGATCCAGGCCATTTGCGAGTAGCTACTTCGCGAGTAGTGGAACGCGCTCGTCTAAGGAAGGCCAGAGGGAACCTTCGATCCTTCCAAGAGAGGGCCCCTATCCCAACCCCTTGGCGGGCCGCCTACGGTGGAGACCCGTGCCCAGAAGCACCCGCTGCTTGCCTCCAGAGTTGAGTCGGGCCCGTCCCTCCACAGGAGGAGTGCTCAAACATTGGAAAATGAATAGTCTGGGGACTATTGTTTGATCATGGTTTGACTATTTTGGAGTCTTTTCTGAATATGTATATATATATAGATACATATATATATATATATATATATATATATATATATATATATAAGAAAATCCCCCTGTAGGGGCACGCCCGACTTACCTCCAGGGTGCCCTGGGCTTCTTGGGCTTCGAGGGCCCTGCGCTAGAAGAAGCGTGGCGCTCCCGCGCCAAGCACCGATGGGGCGTCCCCGGGGTCTCCGGGCTGGGTTTTTCCTGCGGGAGGTCTCTTTGTGGACTGGCCTCGACCCGTGTTCCTGTTGGGAGGCAGGCTCCCGCGTGCCTCCCGCCGCCACGCCGGGAGTCGCCGGACGGGGCTACACAGGCTATAGGACGAGGCTGAAATCCGTTCCAGGGCGTTCCGGGCCGCTGCCCCCCACCCAGACCCCCTCGAGTCGTGAAAAAATCACGACGGGAGGTTTTTCGGTATTTTCGGCCTCTGAGGGCCCTTACCGGGCCTCGGGACCGTCAAAAAACGACTCGGGATGAAAAACCGGTCCCGGGGAATGGGTCTGGACCTCTGGGGGTCGCGTCATGAAAAAATCATGACGTCGGGGGTCTGGGCAGAGCGCTCCAGGACGCTCTGTGAGCAGGCTGCGGCGCCCGGCACATCCTCCGAGGCCTCCTCCCCGAGGCATCCTCCTCCGGGGTCCGCCGCCGTGGTCATCTCAGCCTCCTCGCCGTCGCGGCCGCTTCCTCGGCACTACAGTGGAGGCCCATGCCAAGAAACAGCCTGCTTGCCTCCAGGGTGCCCTGGGTTTCTTGGGTTTCGATGGTTTTGCGATGGACAGCGTGACGTTCCCGCACCAACAACCAATGGACGTCCTGGGGTCTCAGGGTTGGGTTTCTCGTGGATGGTTTCTTGTGGTCGGGCCCCTACTATCGGGGGTGGACAGAACCCCCAACAGTGACACGCCGATCAGTGCATTGTCCGTCTTCGGTTCTCGAGATGGCGCCGTGGCCGTCATTTTCCAGGCCTGCGCCCGCCAGGTTTGGGCCTCAGGTCGTTTGCATTAAGCCACGTTTTGCTAAAGGGGGGTCTGCCCAGGGAGCTTGTTTTTTTTGACTCAGGCAAGTTAACTTGCATGGCGTTCGCCCCCCCCCCCCCCCCCCCCTCGCCCCTCTTCAAGCGAATACCAGCGTGCACGTGCCTTTCGACTTGCGCGATGTGATTTCCGCGCCCCCCCGAACGTGCAAGCCGTTTGCGGCCTGCTTCAGGCTCAGCCTCCCCCCCCCCCCGTCCATGCACGTAAACTTGCCAGACTCTAGGAGGAGGAGGAGGAGGAGGAGGAGGAGGAGGAGGAGGAGGAGGAGGAGGAAAAACAGGCTCATACGAACGCTTTCCCGTGCTCGTCTCTCCCCCTGCCCTCCGCGGGCCACCGCCGCCTCCGTCGGCTCCCGCCGCCGCCGCCCTCCGTGCTCTCTGGCCTCCGACCTCGCTCGCGCACCGTGCCGTCCCTCCTTCCCGGCCCTGCCTCGGGGGAGTGTCCCTCGACAGGAGGAATCTCCAGCACTAGTCCAAAGATAGTCTGGGGACGATGTTTGGTTTGACGATATTTTGGCTATTTTGGATTTGTTTGGATGATTCTTGATCTGTCCTCCCAAATCCGCCTGTCGGAGAAGGTGCCCGCCCTAATCCTGGCCCTCCTTCAGGGGCCCTGGCGCGCACCCCCCCCCGTGAGAAACGGTCCGCACGGGGACCAACGTGGGCTACCTTGCTCGCATCGCCCTCCTCCTCCTCCTCCTGTTGCCATGTCCTCCTCCTCCTCCTGAATCCTCCCCCTGATTCCTCATATTCCTCTTGATTCCTCCTCGCTCTCCCCCCCCCCTCCTCCTCCTCCTCCTCCTCCTCCTCCTCCTCCTCCTCCTCCTCCTCCTCCTCCTCCTCCTCCTCCTCCTCCTCCTCCTAGGTGGCTCCCAAGCGTGGCCCCGCGCAGCCGTCTTGCCCTGGGCGGCCGCGGCCAGGCCCGCGCCAATGGGAGCCCCCAGCGCCGAAGGCGCGAGGGCGTGACGCGAGGAGCCACGTCGGAGGCGACACTTGCATGGCGGGGACCGGGTGCGCCCAGCACGGCTTGTGCGCGAGGCGCCCGTCCAACGCCAGCAGGAGGGCCCGAGGAGAGCGCGCGAGGAGAGGGAAGCGAAGCTGGAGCCCGCTAACTCCCCTAGCTGCAGCCCTGTGAGCAGCGCCTGCGGGAAGTCGGAGGCGAAGACGGAGCCCAACATCCTCAGCTACAGTGCGGGGGCCGGTACGTGCGAGAGGGAGACGGCGAAGCTGGAGCCCTCTATCTACCCTAGCCTGACCTCGGGCCCCCTCGTCGCCACGGCTGGATCTGCGAAATCGGAACGTGGTTCGGTTACGGAGGCGAAGGTTGAGCCCACAGCGACCAACTGCAACGCAGAGACCAGCGGCGGTGGCAACAACGGGGACGCTGGGGATCGAGAGTGCAAGAAGTGTGAGGCGAAGACGGAGCCAAACGTGAACTGCTGCAGTGTTGCGATCGGGGTGACGAATGCTGCGATCAGGCCCGCTACCCCTATCCACGACTCTGAGTTCGGTGAGTACGATCAGCGGGAAGAGAGTGGGGAACCCGACGCGATCAGCTACAGCGCGGGAGCCAGTGCGTGCGAAAAGGGGAAGGCGAACACCAGCAGGTTGATGTGGCGAGCTAGAGCCGAGATCTCCCGCAAATGGCGAGGCCCGAGCGGGTGCCAGCGCGAACAGGGGGACGGGGCAAAGCAGAAACCAGACGTCGACAGCTACAACGATGGATTCGGCTGCAAATGGGAGGCACAGGGCACCCGCGGCGAGTGGGGGCCCCTCACAGAGGCGGACTCAAGGAAGGTGGAGAAGAGGTACAGGCAGTGGGTGCGGGGCGACGGCGGCCACAGCCGCACGCTCACCATCCAAGGCTCCAACGGGAAACCCTCCAGGCCGCTCAGGACAGATTTCGAAAAGCAGATCCTGAGGACGACGGGGGTAAAGAATAGGCGTACCATCCCGATCCGCCGAGTGCGAGAAATGTGAGTAATGTGAGAAGGGCAGTGGCTGTGAGGAGGACCAGCGCCGCCGTGCGAGGCGGAGCCAGGAAGGAGACTGCAGCGCACTGGCCAGGGCTTCTGCGAGAAGGGCGCCACGCCGAGGGCAGTGGCGGCCTCCGCGCGAAAGGCGTGCCTCGGCGGGCCTCTCCTCGCCCCCCCTGGGGGAGAGGGCCGAGAGCGCCAGCCCGCCGTCCGTCGCCGCCAGCGTGCCAGCGGCGGCCGTGGCGGGCCAGTCGTGACAAAGTCACCCACCGAGCGGTCTCGAGCGATCTCCTCCTCCTCCTCCTCCTTCTCCTCCTTCTCCTCCTCCTCCTCCTGCTTCGCCCGACCCCCCCCCCCGCGCGCGTGCCCACGCCCGTCGCTCCTCCTGCCGGGCCCGAGGGTCGGCCATAGGGGCCGCCCCTGCGCGTCGATGCCCTGGGACGGGGTGGGTGGGCCCAGGGCTCGAGGATCGAGGGGGGCCTCCTCCTCCTCCTCCTCCTCCTCCTCCTCCTCCTCCCCTCCTCCTCTCCCTCCTCCCTCCTCCTCCTCCTCCTACGCCCTGGGGCGGGGGGGGGTGGGCCCACAAGTCTCAGCCGCACTTTCAAGGTCGGGGCGCCTGGCTCTACCATCTAGGCCTCCTGGATGGGGTCCAAGTGGATGGGGCCGGAGGATCGCGCGGCATCGCCGATGCGCCGGCGATGCAGCTCCGATGTGGAGCCCGGTGTGCTTCGCGCCGACGTCTCCGCTACATCGCCCACGTCGACGATGCATCGCCGATGCGACGCATCGGCGATGCATCGGCGATGCGGCGCGGTCTTCCGAACCCATCTACGTGGACCCCATCAAGGAGGCCCCTCTCTCTTTTTTTTTTTTTTTCTCTCTCTCTCTCTCTCTCTCTCTTTTTGTATTTCTCTCTCTCTCTCTCTCTCTATATATATATACATATGTATATATAAATACATATATATACATATATATATATAAAAATTATGTTTGCAGCCCCGGTTTTTCTACCAGATGTCGGCCTCTGGGGCCCGCGACTGGGCCCCGGCACCCGCCGGGAATGTGGCGCCGCATCGGGCGCAATGTGGCCCAGCGGCCGCGGCCCCAAGAAGCCGCGGATGCGAACGACAAATCACGTCGGCGGATGCCAGGGAAGCTCCCAAAACGGCCAGCGGTCGCGACCCCCGGCGCCGCGGATGCGAAGCATCACATCGGCGGATGCCAGGGAAACTCCCGAAACGGCCAGCGGTCGCGACCCCCGGCGCCGCGGATGCGAAGAATCACATCGGCGGATGCCAGGGGAGCTCCCAAAACTGCCAGCGGTCGCGACCCCCGGCGCCGCGGACGCGAAGAAGCACATCGGCGGATGCCAGGGGAGCTCCAGAAACGGCCAGCGGTCGCGACCCCTGGGGCCGCGGAGTCGAAAAGTCACATCGGCGGATGCCAGGGGAGCTCCAAAAACGGCCAGCGGTCGCGACCCCTGGGGCCGCGGAGTCGAAAAGTCACGCCGGCGGATGCCAGGGAAGCTCCGAAAACGGCCCCCAAGCGCGCCCGCGCGCCCCAAATGTTGTTCCACCGAACTTTTTCGGGAGAGCCCGGTGGAGCTGTCACGCCCCAGGCCGCCCTGAGGTCCCCGAGCGGCTTGCGAGGTGGCCCCCAATGACTGCCCCCGAGGCCAGGGGTGGCCCGGCCTGTGGCATGCAGCAGGGAGGGGGGGAGGGTGCTCGGAGGCAGGGCCGGTGGGAGGGAGGGTCGAAGAGTGCAGGAGAGATGGGGGAAGTGGGAGGAGTCAAACGACGCGAAGATCGGGACAAAATCGGATCGGGATAATTCGAAATCTCTGAGAATCGGCGGGTTTGGAGGATGTATTGGGCGACGCGGCCGCTCCAGAGCGTTCCGGAACGCTCTGAGAGCGCTCCGGAACGCTCTGGGGCGATTTATCCCGATCCTAGCCTTGTTTTAAGGAGGGGAGGAGATGGAACTGGAGGGCTTGGGGAGAGGGCCACGCCGGGCTGGAGTTCATCGCATGGCATCCACAGAGGGCACGGCCCTCTCGGTTCATTGTTCCAAGGCCCGGTATCGGCCATGGTGCTTTTCAGGTTCGCGATCTTCACTCCGATGCCATAGCTGCAACCTCCCTGGGCAATGGCCACAGCTTTCTGGAACCGTAGCGTACGCAGGGCGCGCGCTGATCTAGAAAGCCGAGGCCGTGACAGCGAAGACCCGTCGAAGACCCAGCCTGCGAGGGATCTGGATCATCGATCCAGTCTTCCTTGATGTGTAAGTCGCGCGCGAGCCGTCCACGCGGCGGGGATGGCGAACAAGGCCTCGCCCTCGAGGCTCCAAGGCTTCGGCGCCTCTTCCTCCTCCGGGCGGCCTGCGGGCGGCGGAAGGCCGGCGGTCCCGCCGGCGGAAGGGTGGCGGAGGCCAGGGATGCACCCCCCCCAGGAGGTGGGGTCTTTTTGCGGGTTCCGGAAGCCCAGACCCAGACACGCGACATGCAATGCTCACGCCCACTGCAGCTCGGAGTCTCGGGCTCCCTGCCCCAGAGAGCCGAGGCGCGCAGGACATGGACAAGCATCTGGCTCCTATAGAGACTGCTCGATCTCTCTCCATGTCCAGCGCGACTCGACCTTGCGGCGCCCCTTTCAAGGAAGCTCACGACGCACTGAACATCGACCGAGACATGCGACGCCCTGATTTTTTCAGGACGGCGCCCCTGGAAGTCCCGACCCTTTCCCCGGGACCGGCGTTTTTTTTGTCCCGGGTCGTCTTTGTCGCGCTCCCTCGGGGCCCGGCGAGGGCTCCCCGAGCCCGAAAACTGCCCAGAACCTCCCGTCCTGATTTTTTACTAACGACGCGAGCATGTCTGGGGAGTCGGCGGTACGTCTTCAGGCTGTCCCCGCCCGCGCTCCCCCGCAGCAGGCAGCGCGGCTTCCTGGACACCCTGAGCTCGGCGGTGCCGCTGACGGCAGGCGAGGTCTCCCTCCCCCTCTTAGGGGGGGCGCCGAGCGCCTCCCCCCTCTCGAGTAGGCATCGGGCGCTCTTCGGCGTGCCTCCCTCCTCCTCCTCCTCCTCCTCCTCCTCCTCCTCCTCCTCCTCCTCCTCCTCCTCCTCCTCCTCTCTCTGCCCCCCCTCCTCGTCGCCGCCGCCGCCCTGGACGTCGCACTCCGCCGCCGCAGCCGCCGCCGCCGCCGCCAGGGCGCCTGGCGTCTTGGGCCAGCCGCGGCCGGCCCGAGCCGCCGCCGCCGCCGCCGTCCTGGCCGTGGCCCTTCGCCCTCGCTCGAGGGGCCGAGAGCGGCAGAAGCGTAAAACGCTTAGGGGGTCCGCGCGGGTTGCTCGCGTCGGCGCTGCCCCCCCCCCCCCCCCGCCCCCCTGGCGGCGCCTGCGTCGCTCCCCCCCCCCATGGCGGCGCTCCGCGCGCCGGGAGGAGGAGGGGGGGGGGGGGTCCGGCGCCGAGCCAAGAAACCCACGCGGAGCTCCGAAAGTTGATGTCCATGCAGTGCTCTTGTTCCTCTATTCTCGTTGTCGATGTTTTTTGGGGGGCGCGACTTGCAGTCTCGAGCCATCCCTGGGAAAAAGGCGTGCGTGTGGGCGGGAGCAGCCATCGGGAAGGTCGCATGGCCACTGCACAGAACACGACCACGGTATACCATGGTCGAAACACATGTCCGCATCCGCGGCCTAACGGGCCCGGCCTCTGGGCCGCGACCCCGAGGGTACGGGGCGTTTTCTGACGGGTGCCCCGCGCGGAACGTATGCGTGCGACCGCGCATCCGCGGGATCGCGCCCCAGAATCCAGACCGCGAGGGCGCGGATACGGCTCTGTTCGTGAGCCGCGAGAGCCCGAGCGGGATCGAGGAGCTGAAGGCCTGGACGCCGCCCGAGGGCCGGTGGTCGAGGGCCCGACTAAGTCGAGGGTCGGGGGTCGGTCGGGCACCCAGGCTCTGGAGTCGACGACCGAGGACCCAGGACCCAGGGCTGGACCTAAACGGTGTTTTTGGTGATTTCGTGGGCCGTTTTCGTTTCGACTTCGTTTTGCGGCAAGGGCGGATTCGAGGCAAGAGCGAGGCAAAAAACGACAACAAAACGAACACGAAAAACACCGTTTAGGTTCAGCCCGGTCCAGGACCCAGGGCGTGGGCATCGAGGCCGCTGGAGGGACCCCGTGCCGTGCCTCTGTGGGCCTCCTGCAGGCGCGGCCCGCAAGTAGCCACGCGGCTGGACGCGGCCCTCCGCCGCCGCAGCCGCCGAGGAAGCAACGCCCCGGCGGCGAGCGGCGGTGACTATAGCCCAAGCCCGCTGCGTCGGGCTCAATCCCTAGCTTGAGATTTTCTGTCGACGTCGCAAAACAAATCTCAAGCAGTGGCGAAGCGTCCTGGCTCGCCTATAGCCCTACCACACACTGTTCTGAGAGCCGTTTGTGGTTTCCACGAAATGTTCTTGGAACATTTCTGGCGGAGTCTTTTTTGTTTTACCACATCGGGATTATGTTCTAAGAACGTTGTTTTTGTTCTTAGGGCACTGTTGGGTTCTAAGAACATGTCGTGGTAGGACTGTCGGAATGCCGGGACGCTCGGTCCCTGCTCCACAGATCACGTCCGGAGCCCCAGACCCTATCTTTGTGCGTCATGTGTCGACCCGGATCGATTTGTGAGGGTCCCGGGGCCCAGAAGTGAGCGACAACGCCCGCTGTGAAACGATTGCAGCGAGGGGATGATCTTAGCAGACAGGCCTTGTGTTTTTTTGATTCCTAGCCTTATGAAAAAAGAAGAAAAGAAGAGGAGAGAAAAAACAAGAGGAGGAGAAGGAGGAAGAAGAAAAGGAAGAAAGAGGAGGGGAAAGGAGGAAGGAGGAGGAGGAGGAGGAGGACCAGTGTAAACCCAAAAGTCATCAACGATGTTGGAGTAAACCCTCCCTCCAAGCTCGCTCTTCATAGGCCCCTACAACGGTTCATTTTCATTGATGGAACTGCCTCGTTGGAAGACACCCGTTGGAAGACCCTGAAGCATGCCAAACCATTGTTCTGAGGTGTTGCGTCTTGACGATCCTGAATCATGCCAGAACGCCATGCCTAAGACTTCAGCACAGAGAATCAATGTAACTGGTGCGCCCGCAGAATCCCGAATCCGTCCAAAACACCACTTCTGGTACGTTGATGATGGGAATCCTTGACACTCTTGCAAATGTTCAACAGGAACGTGCGCGGCGCTAAGGCGAGAGCCTCATTTTGAAAAGGATCCGCCCTCAATCCGTGAAACTCTTGCAAATATAACGATTGTGCGCCGCGCGAAGGCGAAAGCCACGTTATTTGAAAAACCACCCGCCCCCAATCCGTGAAACACTCGCATGTTTAAAACGAATGCGCGCGGCGCCAAGGCGAGAGCCAAATTTTGAAAACGGCCCGCCCTCAATCCGGGATGCAATCTTGAGAGAAAAATGCGAGTGTGCGCCGCGCTAAGTTAAGGCGAGAGCCACAATCTGAAAACGACCCGCCCTCAATCCGTGAAGCTCCTGCACATGTTTAAAACGAATGTGCGCCGCGCTGAGACGATAGCCACATTTTGAAAACGACCCGCCCTCCATCTGTGAAGCTGTTGCCAATCTTTCAGCTTCTGAGTCATAAGTGGTGAGGAAGTCTCGGGCGACACGCCCGGCCCGCCCTAAAAACTGGCCTCGGGGTGCGACAGGGAGAAGCTCTTCAGAAGGACAGGGAATGGAGGAGGAGGAGGGGGAGGCGGAAAAGGGGGATGGGAGGGAGGAGGGGGGAGGAGGAGGCCGCAGAGGAGGAGGAGGAGGAGGAGGAGGAGGAGGAGGGGAGGAGGAGGAGGGCGGAGGGAGGAGGAGGAGGAGGCGAGGAGAGGAGGAGGAGGAGGAGGAGGAGGAGGAGAGAGGAGGAGGAGGAGGAGGAGGGGAGGAGGAGGAGGAGGAGGAGGAGGGAGGAGGAGAGGAGGAGGAGGAGAGGAGGAGGAGGAGGAGGGGGGCGGAGGAGGCGGAGGAGGGGAGGAGAGGAGAGGGAGGAGGAGAGGAGAGGGGAGGAGGAGGAGGAGGAGGAGGAGGAGGAGGAGGAGGAGGAAGGAGGAGGAGGAGGAGGAGAGGAGGCGGAGGAGGAGGAGGAGGGGAGGAGCGAACACGCCCCTTGTGCAGAAGGCTCGCGACGCCAGGCTCTTAGGGGCGGCGAGCGGCGGCCCGGCGCCCGGCCGGTCCGGCGGCGCCCGCGGCCCGCAGCGCGCCGCGGACCAGCAGCGCAGCCGGCGGCGACGCGGCCGCGCGCGCGGCGGCGGCACGCCGCCCGCGGCGGAGGCGCGCGCGCCCGCCGCGCCCGCGGCGGCTGCGCGCGCCCGCGGGGATGGGTGGCGCCGGCCTGCGGCGCGCGAGGAGGCTCCACTCAAGCAGTGGCGAAGCGCCCTGGCTCGCTTATAGCCCTACCAAACAATGCTCTGAGAGCCGGTTGTGGTTCCCACGAAATGTTCTTAGAGCATTTTTGGTTGGGACCGTCTTGTTTTGTAACACATCGGGATTGTGTTCTAAGAACATGGTTTTTGCTCTCAGAACATTTGTGGGTTCTAAGAACATTTCGTTGTAGGACTGTAGGAATGCCGGGACGGTCGGTCCCTGCTCAAGGGGCGCCTTCGCCAGACCCCCGCGGGTCATGCAGGCGTCACGGCGGAGGGAGTTTCGCGCTGCTTTCGGCCCCTGGAGGCCCTGATTTGCACCGAGGCCGCCCGCGGGGCCGCGGAAAAGCAACTCCGGGCGAGAAACCGGTCCCTTGGAGAGGGGTCCAGACCACTGGGGGTCCAGGTCATGGGGAGGAGGAGGAGGAGGAGGAGGAGGAGGAGGAGGCGGAGGAGGAGGAGGGGGAGGCTGGAAGCCATCAAGACGTCGGGAGTCCGGGTCGACGGCGCGAAAGGGATCCGCGCTGCCTCTGGAGAGGGCACGCGGCCTCCCCGGGGCCGTCAGAAACAAACCTCCTGGCGGCTTGGAAAAAAGCTGGTCGTCCTCCTTCTCCCCCTCCGCCTCCTGCTCCTCCTCCTCCTCCTCCTCCTCCTCCTCCTCGTCCTTCTCTTCCTCCCTCTTCCTCCTCCTCTCTTACATCCTCGGGGTCCGCCTCCGCCCTCCTGCTCCTCCTCCTTCTCCTCCTCCTCCTCCTCCTCCTCCTCATCCGCCTCCTCCTCCTCCTCCGCCCTCCTGCTCCTCCTCCTCCTCCTCCTCGGTCGGTCGGTCGGCCATAAGGGAATGAGTCTGAATCCCAAACGAAGCTAGAAGAGAGCAGCGATAGCAGAGAGTAAAGCGGCGAGGCAGCGATCGCGGCAGCGGGCAAGCCTCTCGGGTGAAACTAATATCCCCCCCCCCACATGTCCAAAGCTCGATCCCACCGCCATATCAAGGCCACTTTAAAAGCCCTGGTCCTGACGTGGGCAGGTAGATCATCCCAGGCGTACGGCAACTTAGTGAGTAACGCCACTGGGGGAGGGCGCCACCAACATAACGTCAGGGACGGGCTGGCCATTCATCAGGTTACTGACCCCCAGCCTGAGGATCGAAAAAGATGCCTTCACCTGACTACTGCGAGTTTCAGTGCCGCGCACACCGCCAGCGAAACAAGACAAACCTGGTCAGCGAGTTAAGGTGCCGCGCACACCCCAGGCGTCAAAAACAGTCAAGCACATACCTTCCCCGAGGGTACTGCGAGAGTTAGCGGTGCCGCGCACACCATGTGCTTGTCAAGAGGGAGATGGTGGTGTCACTTGGGCGAAATCACGACCACGCCTGAAATCATAGAAGGGATCCAGGGGCACAAAGAAGGGCTCAAACTCCTCCCCGAGGTCCCAAGGCGGCGGTCCAGGATCGGGCCCGAACTGGTCCTGGATAGCAGCGAAAATGCTCTTGGCCAGCAAACAGCACATTTCCGAGGGATAGGTTTTGGCCCGCGCAGTCTGCCACGCCCCAGAGGAATCTCGGCCCTGAAGGACCTGGACGTGCGCATAATGTTGGCATCTCCCCTGGTGCGGCAACTCGTTAATCAACTGATTGAGCCTGGGGATATGAACACCCATCAAAGCCGTAGGTTTCTTCGCACAAAGCCCAAACATACATTGGTCTATCCTGTGCAATTTGACCCCCATCTGGCAGGCCAGCTTGGAAAGGATAGGGAGATGCCAACTACTGGGAACATTAGGTCGGTGTTCGGCCGGGGCAGGGTGCTCCATGATCGCTGGTAGCCCAAGCTTCCAAGCGGAAATCAGAAATTCAATGGTGGTTCTTAACAAGGCATTCCCCACCCCGACCTGCTTTCGTTCCTTGGGAGTGATATACTTAACCCCCAGAGCTCACGTGGCGCCCTCAGTGGCCGAGGGTGAGGCCCGACGGCTTCGGGGGGTACAGGGTTGTGGCGAGCAGCGCTCCATGTCTCACAGGGGGGGCCTGCAATAACCCCAGCCACCCACCCCTGCTCCATAAGGCGTAACCAATAAGCAACCGTGGAAACTTCACTTAAGTCACCATACTTAGGACTGTTAGTAATATCAATAGAGAGCACAACAACCGGGGTGGGATACTGAGCAACAAGCCTCTCTATCCAATCCTGCACGTCACCAGCACGCCGTTGGCCCGAGAAGAGATGGAGAAGAAAACGGAAAGGGCGCGAAGGGGGCGGAGCAGGAGAGGAAGAAGGAGGGACAGGAGGAGGCGGGGGGGGGCCACAGGCTCGACCACGAAGGGCTCTACCTCCATGACACGGACCCCTCTGACTGGGCCAATCATGCGAATCCTGGGCAAATGGGCGAAATCATCAGTCAACCCCTTGGCCCTGTTGGCCTGCTGCTCACAACGCCGGGTAGCCCGAGCCCCATCGATCTCACCCTGAGTGGGACGCACACCACAGGCCACAAGGCCTCGGAAACAACTTTTGGACCTAGCTAGATGTTTATACAACCCCCCATTAGAGCGGTAGTCCCACCCATTAGAGCGGTAGTCCCACCCAGCAGGTGCCAACGGCCATCATTGCTGGGGAGGTGGGGATGGGGTGCTGCTTTCCCCTGTGAGCGCGCAATGCGCGCTCTGTCTTGAAAAGCTGGCCGCACTCGTAGCACATGTAGGATGTCCCCTCGGCCACAGTGTCCACGTCCATGGGCGTGCCTACGAGCGCCTCGTGCACCCTGATGTCCCACAGGTGGAGCAGGTGTCGGTCACTCCACCACTCTCTCGCTCTCTGGATGACAGTTTTGATCGTGGCCCGAAAGCGCTGGGGATCCATCTGAAGTGCGGCTAGCCACTCGTCAAGCCCCCCCGTCCCAGGGACCGAATCGGGTTCCATGAAAGAAACTAGCTAATCGAAACTCGCGGCCAAAGCCGGGGCCCAGCTTCTACGATGCAGGAGGGGAACGTCAAGAAGGGTCAGCAAATATCGCGGCGCAAACTTGAACATCCGAACCAAGAAACGCAGCCTGGAAACGTGAACAACGGCATCCCAGGGAAGCCGATCGGCACGAGCTAAAACATCCCAATACGATAGGTGGTGCTCGGGTGAGTTGCTGGCAGGAAGTCCAAGCGCGCAGCGATACAAGAATTCATGGCAGCTCCGCACTCTAGATTGAACGGCCTGTGGCATGGGGCGCCATAAACATGAGGCATAAAAGCATCTGCTGGATCCGAAGGCTTCCGTGTACAAAAGTTTGGCACGGAGGGGAAGGGAGGGGCGGGGAGCGACGGTAGCCTTGATGGGCCTGACTGCGGCCCTAGCAGACATGGAACGCGCTGATATCTCCAGCCCTTCAGATCCAGTGTCAGCAAGAACTACCCCCAGGCACTTGTGTGAACGCACGACGGCGACTTGAACTTTCCATTGGGGGGAAACAATGCAGGGCTCCGCCCGATCGAAAACCTCCCGATGGGCCGCCTGTGAGCCCCCCCCCCCCCCCCCGAAATCTTAGCATAATCTTGGTCTTGTTGGGGTTCAAAGACAGCCCGTGACGTGCACAAACCGCGAAAACAATATCAATGAGTTCACCTAACATCTGTAAGAGTGCAGCTGGCTCAAGGGAGGCCACGGAGGGGGTGAGGTCGTCAACGAAAGATACTGAAGCGCACACTTGATCGTGGTCGACCGCTGAGGAGAATACTCGCACAGACGGGGTGGGAAGCCACCGAATCTCTCTCATTTCCATCTCGGCTTCTATCTCCTCTTGAACACTAGCGAAAACAACATTAAACACGTCAGTCGCCATCGCGGTGCCAGGACGGCACCCCGTGCGGGGAATGACGTATCCATCAGCGCCTCCCACAGCCCAGAAGGCCCCCCTTTGAGCCTCCCGCAGTAAGGCGACTAGGTGGGGCTTCTCAATGGTCTGATCAAAGATAGGGCCAGATAGCAGCTGAGCACGAACTCCCGCAGCTAATATTGGGGGCACGGGGAGCTCTTCCAAGACTTCACTGAGCATCTCCCCCTCACCTGGTAAATCATACACCAGCTGCCGAATAGTGGAGTAGAAAGCAGCCGTAAGATCACAAAACAGGGACCCACATGAAACCCCCCGCGCTTCAGTGGCCGCCCAGAAGGCCTTAACAAAATGCGCGACAGTGTCGCACGATCTACCAGGTAACCTCCCACATTGCTGGGCCAACAGCGCAGCATACAGATCGTCCAAGGAGAGGCATCTGAGATGTCGGTGATGGATTTTACTAATCGTATTCGTCATCAAAATGCTGCGCTGGTTGGCGGCCAAGGCAATCAAGCCTTTCCCCTTGAAAAATGTGCCAACGCGCCCGTCTTTGAAGGCCAGGGGTTCTCTAGTGGTCATGGTGACCCTGGTGAGGAGGGGGTGAATGATTTCCATCAATTCGAGGGGGGCAAGCTTGAGCAGGTCGGGGGGGGAACCCGTCAGGACCAGGGGCCCTCCCTCCTTGGATACCCCTCATCAACGATAACAACCTAACCTTCGAGACAAATAGCTCCAGGTCCCGAGGAGCCTCATCAGGAAGGAGTGGGATCATATCATTATAGTGTCTTTGTATCCCTTCTGCATCCGCGAACTTGCCACTCTCCACTTTGGCGAAGTGCTGCTGAAGGTTGTTGGCCACGTCTGATTCCGTGCACAGCGCCGTGCCGTCTTCGGTGGTCGAGTAGGGAAAAGTGGTGGGGATCTTCGGGGGGGCGACCTCCAAACTGCATCAAAACCTTGGTCTTTGACCACTCCGAACGGGGAAGCCCAAAATCCCTAGCTTCGACAATCGTATCAGCCTGGGCCTCAAGGTAACTGCACCTGTCTTGCTCCAAAGCCTTGGCCACAAGCTGCTCGGTGTCTATCAGAAAACGCTGAAGCCCGAACACCATGGCGTAACAACAGAGCCTGCTAGAGGCCCATCCTCGGAACACCTGAGCCAGAAGATCGTAGTGCGGCCTCCAGAATTGCGCTCCCTCTTGCATAGCAAGCCCCAGGATATCCCCCGATAACCATCTGCCGCAAAAGTGGGATAGCGCATCGCCGTACAGGGGCCCTTGTTGGTCCAGAAAGGGGGCAACTTTTTTCAAGGCTCTGGTGGCCCCTCGACGTGCGGTGATTAGACTCCTCCTCCTCCTCCTCCTCCTCCCCTCCTCCTCCGCCGCCTCCTCCTCCTCCTCACCTCTCCTCCTGCTCTCTCCTGCTCCTCCTCCTCTCGCTCCCTCCTCCTCCTCCTCCTCCTCCTCTCTCCCCCTCCTGCTCCATCTCCTCCTCCTCCCCTCCTCCTGCTCCTCCTCCTCCTCCTGCCCTCCTCCTCCTCCTCCTCCGCCTCCTCCTCCTCCTCCTCCTCCTCCCCCTCCTGCTCCTCCTCCTCCCTCCTCCTCCTCCTCATCATCATCATCAATCATCATCATCATCCGCCTCCTCCTCCTCCTCCTCCTCCTTCTCCTCCTCCTCCTCCTCCTCTTCCGCCTCCTCATCCTCTTCCGCCTCCTCCTCCTCCTCCTCCTCCTCCTCCTCTTGCGCTCTTGCGCTCCTCAGCGGTCGCCCCGATGACACAAGAAGCCCGCCCTTTACGTGAATCGGAAACTCAGCGCCTGAGGGGGGCAGGGATAACCGCCTCCAGTTTAGAGTGCGAGGGATCCTTCCCCTGCTTCAAAATCCCCAGGGCTTTCCGTTTCCACTCAGCGTCGAGGTTTCCCGCACGCTCTTTGCACAACTCCTTGACCTTCGAACGGGCATGCGCTCCACAGCGCATGCACCAGGTCAGCCCTCCATTCTGCCAGAGACGATGGGCGGGGTGGGCCTGGGACACAATCCTCGGACGCCCAGGGCACGGCAACTGCCCCAGCCGAGAGCGAATCGCCCGCGCCAGCCCACAGACACCGCACCCCCACCCACCGCCAGGAGCCTGCGAGACAACGTGACCCTTATCATCTGGGACTATCTCTAGAATCGGGGCCTCCGAACTCCTAGGCTCTCTTTTGGCACGCTCAGAGTATGATGATACATCAGGATAGCCCAGTTGATGGACATGCTTGAGAACTGCCACCATATATCTGGAGATGAGCGTAACCTGATCATGATGATGCCGCAGACGATCCCGAAGGTGATGGTTTGCTGGATGCGCCTTGGCACCTGTCTTGGCCCAGGAGTCTGCCTCCTGGTTGCCTCTGAACCAATGAGGCTCATAGCCCCTTCGTTGCGCCGCCGCCTCCGACATATGCGAAGGCATCCAGCACACGTTCATCGAATTTGCTCCGACGTCCTCGATCCTCATCCAGATGAGGCGCCAGAGCTCCGCGTAGCACCTGTTGGATTTTACCGTCCCCTCCCTTCCCATGTTCCACCCGTCGTAGACGATTTTACAATCCGTTATGATGTGGGTACTGGGTCCCATGAGGCAAAGCGCCATGTAGAGGGCGTAAAGCTCACTGGACGGCGCGTCCTGCACTGGGAGGGGGGAGGGCCCGTAGGCCACTGCGTCCACCTGCGTACTCGGGCTGATCGAGACGACCGCCCAACCAGCACGCAACAGCCAACGAACATCTCCGTCGTAGGCGGAGCCGTCGATGCAGACGGTGTCGCCTAGCACTCCAATCTCGGGCTTCACAGCCCACCTATACTCGGCACCTTGGAGGATCTTGGGGAACTCGGTCCTCTTGGAGTCCACCAGGGCTCTCGTGAACAAGATATCAGGCTGAGTCAGGGCCACGGCAGCGGCCCCCATTCCACTATTGTCATGGTCCCTCCTGATCAGCTTGGAGCCGTCACAGCCCCATAATCGGTGAAAAACCGACCCCCTCACCTGGAGGCACCACTGGCACCGATAAGCAATCGCGCATCTCTTCCTGAACACGTCGGCCTGAGTCCAGAGACCTCCAGAAACCTGTGCGATAAGCAGACTGGCCCCAAGGAAATCTCCAGCACCTCTTAACCTAGCAAGTTCATCACGCAGAGGCTCCACATATGGCCCCAAGAGGCATTGTAATGAGCTCCCGCACGTATACGTAGCAGCCGTCTAGTCGCTTCATCCGCTGGGGTTTGCACAGTCCTAGGCCCTACTTATGTGATGTTGATGGTCACTCCGTCAGTGTTGACCCAAACATCCCAGGAGACAGCTTCCCACTCGAACCTTCGAAGGGCGAGCACTACCGCTCCTGCTGGGCCCAGGACCGTCCTCCACCCTTGAGACCTAGCCTTGGCCGCGTAGTCGAAGGCGTGCTTCATCTGGGCATCCGTGGCCCACGAATCAAATACTGCTCTGACCCACAGCTGCAGAGGGAGAGAATTTGCTGCGAACATCGGGTCGAGCTTCTCGACCTCAGCCAAAAAGAACTGCAAGCTGCGGCTGCGGCCCTTGACAGGCCCGAAAATAGCCGCCCCTGTCGAGGCGCGCTGCTGCTCCAACTGCGTGTCGCCGAGACCGATGGCCGAGACGCCATACATTGCCGCCAGCGTGGGGCCTCCTCGATGCACATTCTGAAGCGGCTTCCGAGAGAATCTGAAGGCCCTGAACCTTCGCACCCTGCCCCTGGTCGTCTTCAGTCTCTTGTTTGTGACGTTTCTACCCTTTCCAGTCCTCAGCTTGAAATCGACCCCGAGGTTTTTGGTCGCCTGAACATGCTTGAACCCAAATTCCCGAAGCGCCCATGCCAGCTGCTTTCCAAGTTTCGGGTCCGAGGCCACCAGGATCGATTTACGTCTCGAAACCTTCATCTCGAGCTTCTCCAGGGACCTGCAGACAAACAGAGTGCACCTAACTAACTGAGTCCGAACATGCTTTTGATCACCCACTGCCTGGAGACCAGCGTCGTCCACCATCAAAGAAATGCCGATCCTCGGCCACTTCTTGGCCGCATCGTCGAAAACATCTAACAACACTACTTTCAGCAGCGTCGTCGCATACGAGCAGCCTGCCACAATGGTGGCGTTCAGCTCAAAGGACAAAGACACCGCCTCTCCTACTTTAATGACCCGCTTGCCCGAGTAAACCAACAGGAGAAACCTTAACCTCCTCAAACTGAACCCGTGCTTGTTGCATGCTCTTATCAATTGCTCGTGCGTGATTCGTTCGTGCGCCTTCTCCAGATCAATCAGCGTGCATCCACTGAAAAATTTGCTGGCTCGAGCGGCCTCGTTCAACAGCGCCTGCTTCCAGATAGCCATCTCGCAACTATTTCCCTTTCCTCCGCACATGTACGCGCGCGCGCTTGCCCCCCCACCTTGCCGCCTCTTCATGCCGAAGCCGACTATATAGCCGCGCAGGGGCGGAGATTATCCCAATGGGCCTCCTCCCCCCTTCAGGCTTCTGCAAAAAACGGGAAAATGAGCAGCGCAATCTGCTCGGGCAGCTGGGGGCACGTGCCCCAGAAATACATCGGGACACTTAGAGCAAGCAGGCCAGAGGTACAGAGCTGCTTCAGCGCGCGCGGGGCCCAATTCCAGACTCCCACGGCGGCATGCTTCTTGAACTTCCCCAGGACGGACCTGATTTTATCTGGCGCAACAGGCGGCTTCGGGCCCTCGAGGGGCATCTCACTGAGCATCCTGGGGGCGACCTTGGGCACCTCCCCGAACCTCCATATGTGCTTCCACTCCTCCTCCAGGGCCTCCACCTGATCCTGAAAACAACCAGGGGCCCCATCGGGGCCAGGGTCCGCGGGGATCCAGTCGTTGGGCTGCTTCGCCCACCTGTGAACTCTCCCTCCGCCGTTTTCCAGGGCCGAGCGGGCCCATTGTCTCCACTCTTGTTGCCGAGACCTTCTCCAAACCTGCTCCTCACCCTGGATGCACTTTACATGGTCCTGGATCGCTTCGTGCAGCGCCTCGGCGTGGTATCCTTCCAGAGAAAAATGCGTATGCCTCCAGTTGGCCCAGCGCTCGCACTCCCACAGGGTCGTGGGCGGCTCCCTTGCATTTCTCAGCAAGCCCTGCACCTGCTTATCCTGGCCTGAACGGCCCTTGCGGAGCAGAAACAACAACTCCTCCATCCTGACGTTATACCTCCTCATCGCCCTGGAAACTGGAGATCCCAGAGGGTAGGGGCCTCCGACTTTCGTAAGCGCGGGCCTCCAAACGAACCTGAAGGGGGCTCCTCTTCCTTTGTACCCATCGGCCTGCGCTGGATCGATCTGGTAAGTGTTCACCAGCTCCTGCTCAACCAATGCACAGAAATCCGCATACGTATCCTTCGCCTGCCCAGCCGTGAATACCGAGCCTTCCACGAAGGTCTCCAACCTATCTAGCAACTCTTCCCAAACTGGCGGAGGGCCTGGTAAAGGTCCCACTGGTAACTCATCGGGAAACTGACGCGGTTTGGCAAGCACGCAAATCTGAGCAAGATGCGAGTCCGTGCGAGGTACTAGCTTAACTGGGAAATGCGTCGAAAGCTCTGCCTCTTCAATCCTATCGCATCTTACCACTGCTGGGACCAGTCCTCCTGAGACTATGAAAAAATCGATCGTTCTCCATTCCTTGCCCACTCTGCACGTAGGCTTCCCAGGCTGGACAAAAACACCTCCGAACTTCTCCAGGGCCCCGAGGGCTCTGATTTCATCAGCCGTCGCATTGAACTCCCCTCCAATGACAAAGGGCTTCCCAGACGTATACAGTGACTCTCCGAGCTGCATCAGGATCTGGCGCCCTTGGGCCCCTGCACCTTCCCCCGACGGTGAGTAGACCGAGACCCCAATGATGCCACCCTTCAGCAGTCCACCAATCCACGCAGATACAACTCTCGAGGTTGGTCTCGGCGAGCCTTCCAGGGTACACATGCCTACGCCTAGTCTACAGGCGACTCTTGCCCCCGAAGGCAAGCCTCCAGACTGGGTCACCTCACATGCTCCTAACCTTACATTCCAACCAAACTTCAAAAGCGCGCTGCTGGATTGGGCCAGATTGGCCTTCTCTACTTTGCACTCCTGAAGGAAACATGTGACTCCATCACGTTCCTGCTCCAAAAAACTCTGGCATCTCGGCCAACTAGTGACATTGGCCGAGAAGAAACTCCACAGGCTAGGAACTTGACAGCTTAGACCTCGACCCTGGGCTCCTGCTGCGCCTGTCTCGTTTTGCCACCTCCGCCTTTTCCTCCTCAAGGCGCTGGGTCGCCTTGCTGAACAGGCTCTGGATGGTGGCCTGCACTTCGGGATCTGTGAGCTTGCCATCCGACTCGAGCTGAGAGCGAAGGTCAATAAGAACACCACCATCAACTTCGACCATCTTGACGTCACGCTCCGTGTCGGCGCCGCCGCCTGCGGCGCCCTGGGCGCCTGGCGTCTGGGCGCCAGCGCCTGCGCCTCCTGCGCGGGCGGCGCCCGCGCCCGCGCCCGCGGCGGCGGCGCCGACGGTGCCGCCTGACGCCGCGGCGCCACCAGGCTGTCTCCCCTGCATCGCCGCCGCGGCCTGCTGCGCCACCACCGCCATGGCCGCCCTGAGCGCGTCGACCGCGCCCTGCAGCTGCGGGGCCAGCTCCGACGGCACCGCCTGCTCGAACTTCCCCAGCGCCTCCTTGATCGGCACCTCGAACGCGTCGGTCGCGATCTGCTGCGCCAGCCCCTGGGCCCCCAGGTGCTCGGCCGCGCGCCGCTTGGCCTCGCCCAGCTGCTTCTCCGTCTCCTCCAGCTGTTGCTTGGCCACGACCGCCGCCATGATCGCCTGCTGCGCCTGCTCCTCCAGCTTCGCGAGCCTCTGCTTTTGATGCAACACCTGCTGCGAGAACTTGCCGATCTGCAGATTGGCCTGCTGCGCCTCCGCCTGCGCGCCCTGCAGCCCGAAGTTGGCCATGGCACGCGCGTGGGCGAGCTGGTCTCTGTGCGACTGCGACAAGCTTTGACCCAGAACAGCGAACTGTTCTTCCGACATGGCCATCCACATCTCACGCTCCTCCTGCGCGAGGGCCCGTGGCGGTTGCCCACCACCTGGCCCTTTGCCACCCTGAGGGGGCTTGCCCCCCCCAAGGCCCTTTTTGCCGCCCTTGTCATGCTTGCCGCCTCCTTTGCCTCCATCTCCCTGCCGCAGCACGGGAGGCCCTTGATACCAAACCCCGCCTGGCACCGAGTACTGTGCCCAGTAGCTCTGATCAGGCCGGGCTGCTTGAACTGGATTGCACCCGTCGCATCCGCTCTGGCGGCAGGCACGGCGGTGCCCGTAGTTGTAGAACCCGCACTTGCCACAGTACCACCCTGGCGACATGGCTCGAGAGGCTCCTGCGTCCTGGGACAGAAACCACGGCCGCGCTGGCGGCTCACCGTGGCGGGAACGAACGTGCTCGCGAAAACCTGGCCTGAATCGGCCTCGAGGGTGGCCACGGATGGGCAACAATACCAATCAGGTTACCTCGCAACTTCGTTGCTTCCCCCCGTTTGGTCTTGAGCCAAAATGGCTACGGATCTCCTCCTCCTCCTCCTGCTCCTCATCATCCTCCTCCTTCTCCTCCGCCTCCTC